GCAACAACTGATCTTGTTTGGCAAGAATCAGTACTGCTGACAGTCATGAAGAGCCCTGAGCGAAATGCTATGTGACCATGTTTTGCCACTCGATGCAGTGGCCGTGTGGTCACAGTTTTGATGTTTGCACGAAGCCTCTCTCGTTTGGCTTCGCCTGCTCTTTCGCTCGTGCACTGACCCATTTGACAAACTTCGTAGTGAATTCAGGCCCTTAGATAGTGTGCAGTCTATTGTTCTCACCTGTCTCACCTTAGTACAGAGGAAACACTATTTGTTCGATGGGGATTCGGCCTCTGGCCTTGGGTGGTGTTTGGTTGTGGTTCTGGTTGTGTGTTTGGTTGTTTTTCTGCGTTTTTTGTTCTTGTGTTATTTTCCCCATCAGCATGCTGTGTTTCCATTCCTTTCAATGATGACCTGGGCACCCCGCCCACACGGCGTCCGTACTCGTGGAAAAAAAACTGGGAACAAACGATGCTATCCTCTCCGTGTCTGACGCAGCAACTGAAACAGCGGACAACCCACTGCAGTCTCCTGCTTCTCCTGCGACTACGGATGCCGCAATGGCGGTGTCAGTCCATAGCTCCCCCTCCGGCCCATCCACGTTGCCCAGCTCGCTGCTGCCGGTTGGAGAGGACTCCCCCATGGGTGCAGGCGATGTAGTGCTTCATCACTCTGAGAGTCGTGGCGCCAGTTGACAAAACGGAGGCCTGTAGCAACACAGTGATCTGCACAAATGGAGGCAGTGCCAATTTTCCATGTATCATGCAGCCTGCTACACAACATTGGATACTGTATACCAATGAGGGGTTCATATACCTGTGGGGCAGCATGATGCTCCAGCGGTGCTGCCCGGCAACACCCGATCGCTCAGCTGCACTCTGCGCTTGGGGGAAATCCAGAGGGCTATCAGGGTTCGTGGCTGCATGGCCAAGGTCCATCAACAACCCTTCAGAGATCCAGGTCAACTTTCTAGATGGCACGGGGTTGGCAAGCGGGCAGCAATGCCCAATGCGGAAGGCTTGTGCTTGGCGGGCAGCGTGGCCATTTGGATAAGATGATCCGCAGTGACTGTGTCCCCAACTTCCGCTGAGGCAACAAGTCGAAAATTGATGGGCCTTGACTCCAAGACTTTATAGGCTTGGGGGAAATGCCCAGCCAACGTTGCATGCCAGGCCCGTCTCTGTCCGGGTGGGCAGGGGCGCGAAGTCACCTGGGGGAACAAGGGCCACATCCCATGATCTGGGACTGCTTAGCCTGCGGACTCGGTCATAAGGCGACTCTTCTCCTTTTTGGCTAGACTTCTTTCTGGCTTGCGTGGTAAAGGCAAGTAGGATGGCCAGTACCGCATGAACCCTTTCCCCTTCCTGCAGGACGAGTCGAATAAACCTTGCCGACTTGACAGCCCATGTGGACCTCATTTGAGTTTTTGCCAGACAACTGATCAAAGGTGAGGTGCTGGCAATGAGCTTCGCAGAAGGCGGCAACAGTGGACCACGTGGGAAAGGAGATGTGGTACTCATGCATTCCTTTGAGGCCAGCTACAGTGGGTGTAATGTCAACTTGGAGGCCTCGCTGCCAGCGTCAGGCAGCCTCACGCATCTCTGGCAGCGCAGTCGGTGACAATGACGGACTTAGTCTGGGGAAGGGGCAAAGCCACTCCGCGCTCAATGCGCACATGGAGAATGATGTGGACTTCCTGATCAGTGAAGAGGCCCAACAGGACATGGACCTCAAGTCTGCGATTGCTCCGGCTGTCCCCAGACAGCCCTTCTTCCGAGCCATTCTAGGTGACGCCAAACACCGGAGGAGTAGCAGAAGACCAGAGAGCCCACAGAACTCTTGCGCTGCGATCCAGGTGTGTTCAGCAAATTGCTCCATCACTGCCAAGGCTTCAGCCAAGAGGACATTGAACAGGCCACAGAGACTGTCAGCCGAGTGCCACTAGGGCGCACCTGGTTCCGACCAGCAGGCGCGGTTGCCACGTCCCATTTTGGAAGTGCGCTACAGAAAACCTATCGTAAGCTATCGAGTGCGCACGGGCCATGCTGCAGAACTTGCATGCCTTGTTCACGCTGCTGGCACGGGTGATACGCTCACGTATTGTCCGCAGGCGGCCAACTTCGCCAAGGCACTCAGCACGGCAGCCCGCACAATGGCCACATTGCCTCACTAGCCTCCAGTCTGGCACTGGCGCTGCGCTCAGAAAGGTCCACACTTGCGGTGGCGGGGGTTTTCGGAGCAGGCAAAACTCGTTCTCTCACGTTCCTGCTTGCATGGCTTGCTCTCACCACCCAGCTTAAAATTGCTGTTGTGCGCAAAGAAAATCGTGCAGGCAGAGCTATCACGAAACTGCTCACCACCTTTGACTTGCAGCCGAGCCATCAGCAATATTTCATCCGACCAGTGGGTCGTGTTTTTTTTGCACGGGTACGGGCGTTATGTGTGCCGAGAGGCACAAGTCACCTTGATTGAATTCAAAGAGAAAGCTGAAAAGATACGAGATCCGACCAGTGGGTCGTGAAGAAGCAGAGGCAAATACTGCTGCAACAGGGCTCGCCCACAGGTTCTGCTGCGCTCGAGTTCCTTCCAGGAAAGTTAGCTGTGGGAGGAAGAGAGCTAGGATGACAAAAACTTCTCTGAAGGGGATAGGCGCCAGCATGTCTTTGGCCATTTCAGTGAGCCATTTGGCACATTCACTGTTGTTGTCTTTGCCTACTCTGAAATTTCTCAGCAACAGGGCCTGCGCCTCTTCCATAGACTCGATTGTTTGCCCCGTTACGCACAACTGGAGGAGACGAAGAAGCTCCTGATCTGACTGATGTTGGAGACAAGCATGCCTATCGCTCCCTCCCAGTCGGCGCTTGCCATGAGGGTCTCGCATCGGATCCACGAGGCAAGTCTCATGGGTGCAGCCATTCTGTCTCTGTTGGGGATGACCTCCGGGTGGCTGAGCTTTAAGTCAGTGAGGCGGACACGCCCTTGAGGTAACTGACAATGCAGCCAGTGCCAGTAGTTATGCTTACAGCTACCCATCCATCGCGCAGATTCCTCCACATATGTAATGTGAAGGGTTTGCTGCAGCATCCTGAGCTCCTTATCACCAGGTTTCCAATCACACAGGGAGTCCTCTGCAGCATGAACTAGGTGTCGATGCGGATCGGCCGTGGCTACAAGCGCAGCAAGGACCCCCTTTGGCATAGCAATGGCACCTAGCCGTGCTGTAACTTGACAATGTGGCCATAGGCAACGATCTGCTAAGGCAATCACTGCACCAGTATAACTCCCTGCACTGAATCCATTGACAGCAAAGTGAACCGGGGCTGGTTGTGTCACATGTCGAAGGAATCCTAGCATTGGAAGGGAGGCCAGGAGCTGTAAGTTGGAGCAACTGGGCTCCCACCTGCTGTGGCTTTCCAAACCATGCCTGCCGATTTTGCACGTGCAAGAGATGAACCTGCAGGTTGGTCGCCCAAGCCTCTTCAGCAATGAGGCATCCATTGTGACGATGCCTGGATCTTTAGGCACAGTACCAAGTGCAAAAGGAACTGCAAAGGCAACACGGTGCTTCGTAACACTTCGAATGCCTGCAGCCTGAACTTTGAATACCGAGACATGCACACTGAGTACTGAGAGTCCGTTTTGCGTAATTCGATGGCCCTCCTGTTTCACCTCTTCTCAAATTTGTTTCACACCTGCATGAAACGACGAGTCGCCTTTTGCCAAGCCCCGGCCCTGTGTTGTTTGTTTGTTTTGGGTGTTGGGTGTTTGCTTTGTTTGGTTGTTTCGGCTTGGCCGGTGACTCTCCTCCAAGTAGCACAAGATGACCTGTGCATTCTCTGTACATATGGCGTCTCCACCCGTGCAAAAAAAATTGGAGTGCTGTTTTTGGGGACAGGTGATGTCGGCAATGGCGGTTGTGATGGCCTACGAGATCCCTGCAAGATGCACTGAGGCCTGGAAAAAACCATCGCCGGTGATGGATGCCAACATGGACGCTCCACAGAAATGCTGGTGAAGCGAACGTGTCTGTGGACTAGTGACCTGGAAAGCGATGCCATGAAGTTTAAGTAGTATCTGAAAGGAATGCCAAAAATTTGAACTGAGCGAAGCTCAGAAGCAATCTAGAAGCAATGACATGAAGCTGAAATGGTTTCTGCTTGCCCCCGCTCTCCGCATGTTTGGAGTGCTTGAACCAAAGCGGGAAGCAACATGTTCGGGTTCGACCAAACAGCCATAAACCTCCTCACCCTTCCAGCGCAGTTAGGAGCATAGATCCAAGAAGGCTGTGGGCCAGAGGTTTCTTTGAGTTTGGTTTGCAGGCACCTCAAAAAGCACATCAGGGACTTGGGAGCGTGAGAGATCCAGCTGAGGAGAGACATCAGAGCTGCAAGAAACACTTTAATGTATTTGCAGTACCTTTTGTCGCTTCATGGTTTGCCAGATCTAAAGGCGTACAGTGCCGCAGTGATCAGCTTCAGCTTCAACAAGTGAGTTGAGAGTGGCATGAGCTTGGACCATTTCACAGACAATGAGACAAGTCCAGGAGGTGGAACCGCTTTGAGCGATGGAGAAGCAGAAGAAGAAGGTGAGGTCAGTGAGGACTCGATGGAACGAGTGGGCCTGAACGGGCCAGCAAAGACCCAGATTTGTGGGCCGAGATGAACTATGACCCAATGAACGCAGAGAGCGAGAATGAAGAGAACGAAGATGTGCAAGAGGGTGAAAACACTAATGGCCAAAATGGTCGAATTCGGAATTTGTGTGATGGCGAGGATGAGTTGCAGGACTGAGAGCAAAGCCACTTGATGCTTCAAAGAGCCGATGGTAGGAACACCCATGAAACTGGATGTTCTTAAGGCGGGATGACGAAAGATAGCGTGATGGTCCCGTTCAGATGTGTAGTATCTGTTCTTATCAGTTCAAACCTGCCAACAAGTGGCTCGAGACAGCGTGTCCGAAAAACACGATTTTTTGTGAGAGATTCGGACTCAGATGTGAGCATGGCTGAACAAAATGCAGCATTGAAGCCCGCAGACGAAGAAAGGATCACGGCAGAGAATATTGAAGATGTGGCAACAAGGGAGAAGTTCCACCACAACATGCAGATTGGTGGGGCCACATGTGCAGGTACCTGAAGGTGCATGAAGAGACGAGGGCCCAGAGCCTCGTATGGAGTTTTCAGGATTGACATCTTGAAGGATTTTGCGAGGGCACGACTTTCCGACCACGTTACCAGTACATGGTGTTCGACCACGTGCTCTCGTGGAATAACGAGGACCACCATGGCTACCAAATGTTCGTAGATGTGGTAGTGAACGGTAGCTGGGAAGGTAGTTGGACTGAGCGCGTCACAGAGTACACTCGACATGGAATGTAGCGACTTGGCGCTGAAGAAAGACAACGCCAAGTCGAGGTGGGGTGTTGAACATTTCACTCCAAACACGTACAGACTTGAACTTGCAGTGACTAGTGGCTGAACTTGTGGAAAGCAGAGGGCCTTCACATGCGTGCTTTGCCGCTGACGTCTGATTTTCGCAGACGTTGGCATAAAGGTGGGTGAGGCGGGACCTGTATTTTGTGCCAGTTTCAGTTTTGCTTAGGTCTTTTCAGCATTCGCACAGGCTTTCGATCATAGATTCATAGACTCATGGACCATTTCACGTGACCTGACCCTGGTTGAGTGTATTTTTCCCGCCTGTCCCTGCCTCAATAAGGTGTATCTTTTTGCTTCGGTGTCTAGGCAATAAAAACGTTGAGGCGAGGATAGAGCCATTTATATACTCAGACTCAGCGTGTTAACATATTGTAAAACCGTTCTACAACTTTGGGCTTGAAACTTCGGCAATGCAACAAATCACGGGGTCCCAGAGCTTAGATGCAAACTCAAGGCGCACTCCACTTCCGTGAGCTGTTGGGTTCAAAGTTTCATTTTTGTTTGTTGGCCAAACTGGGGTTGGCCAAATGGATGCATCTTCCAAGGACTCTGTTCAAGACCCGTGAGCAACTGTCAAGCAACTGGCAAGAAGTGAAACTGCAGTTGAAAGCACGTTCCAACAGGTTCGAACAAATTTGACTGACCTGATTGTTGCCTCAACTGCCAGGAGACGCAGGCACAGATTTTGCAGATGACGCAATTCATTCTGAATGAAGTTTGAGCCTTGAGAGGAAGTATGTCTCCAAGTGGAGTGTGGTTTTACGTAATTTGCATTATTTTGAGCGAACTTGTTTTTGACAAAATCTGTGAACAACATGATTCTTTTGAAAGGCAACATGATTGCTGCACCAAGTTGATGACGCATATCAAGAACTTGGTTCAACCGCCCCAACAAACAACGACAACAACTTTCCAAACAAGATGATCATTTGTTGCGAACAAAAATGGTGTTGCCAGTGTTTGAATTTCTGAGGCCAGAGATAAGGCGGAAGAAATCGACACGAAGGCGTTGCAGGTTGGATATTTTTTTGGACGCACCGGAAACACCTTGAATTTGAGGTGAACTCAAAAAAGGCATATGTGAAGGATTCAAGGTTCTTGCATTTTTGGAATGAGTCACAACCACATGTGTCCTGCGAAAGAACTTTGCCACTCTGTGAAGGAAGAGAGCATCGAACGATTGAAGATCGTGAATTCCATGAAGGAGAAGATTCAGCAGGACTGAATCAATGATGTGCAGACGTAGGTGCAGCAGGATCATGAAATGCTGACATAACATGGTTGCTTCTAGATATCAAACAACGTCGGAGTAAACATGTTGATCTTGTTTGTTTCTTTGATTTTTTTGTTAAGTCTCTCAGCAGCGGAGGAGTATGCGCGGAAAACAAAGCAGATTGAGACCCAGGCCCACATGGATTGCAACTCGCGTCGCCAACCAGACCACAATTGGACGCCAGTCGTTTCTGAGGTGTGTTGTACATATTGACATGTCATCCCAGACGCTGCTGTGACATGCAGTTTGAATGGCACTTGCTTTAATTCTCAATATGATTGCGACTATGGTCGAGGCTGCGATTGAAAGATCCACGGCCATTAACAGGCAACTTGTCCGAATGGATGGAATTGCGAAATAGACAGTTTGAGGCAAGCTGCATGACAAGAAACATGGCAAGCTTGACCTGACGAATGGCTGTTGCATGGCTGCTGAAAGGTCAAGACTGGAAAAGATCAAAAGTCGACAGGACGGGTTAGAGGTTGATGACTCATAAAGATGTACTCATAAAGATGTACTCATAAAGATGTACTATTTCTTTGAAACACAGCACTTGCACTGGCTGAATCTAAAGTCATCAGGAGATGCTGGGAAAGCTGCAGGAAGACTCCCAGAAAGAGCTGGCCAGTCAGCTTCAAGACAAGGCAGGTCGTCGGAGTAGCACAAGTCTTCAACAAATGCTGCATTTGTTAATGAAGCTTTGAGACTTGTTGCTAACGTTCAGCATTCTTGCATGTTTGCATGCGTTTAAGTCAAACTAGTCCTAGTCCTGTGATAGTTGAACATTTGCGACAACTTGATGCAATTTTGTTGTACATTATGATACTTGCTGACTTTTGACCCAGAGTTGATTCTCCACAAATTGGCTACCAAGCAGAGCCGTGGAATAGGGTACGGTCATCAGCTTGTAGTGATCGATTTGTTTGGTTTTGCATGGATGGCGGTTCCACTTCTTTGGTATTCTTTTTTCCTTACCTGGGTCGCCCGGAAGGGTGCTGTTGCGCCCTCCATAGCTTTTTTGGACACCCGCCACCCTTGGTGTTGTATTGGGGCCCGGAGTATGAAGTTCCAAGCCCTCAAACAGCCAAATCGTTCCAGAATCTCAACAGGTCTATCTCTGCTACTCTCCTTTTGTATTTAGCCTGATGCGGTGGCAACGACGGCTTGACTTGATAAAGTGGCGACCATTTTGGACAACCAGCCGAATGAAGCATCAAAGCCGGAGGCAGCACAGAAAAAGTTTATCACCAAGCTCATTGTGCAGGGCTTGCTGATGCTTCTGGAGGCCAGTTTGGGACCTGCTGACAAGAGATGAATCGTAGCCAATCGTAGCATGCCAAAAATAAGTTGAAAGTCTTGTTTTATCAGCTTCGAGACAAGCAATCTGTGTAGAGCCAAATTGATTCTTAGACCATTTACTTGGTTATCCCAGACTTGCATTGGCATGGCGCAGCAAGATACCAAACGGTCAATCTTTGTTCAGAGTTAGGTTCTTCATATGTGCAGCGTTTCTTCAAGGAAGCTCCCCGTGCCCTCGTGGGGGGAGCTTCCTTGAAGAAGCGGGAGCTATCCCGCGTCTGGGTACTAGTAGCTCACCTCCTTGCTTAATTTAGTACGCGCCTACTTAACTAAGTAGTGCGGGGGCAGGCCACGGCAAGAAATAGAAAAGGCGTGTTGGTGAGTTTCCTGGAAGGGCTGTTCCCTTCTCAGCTTTCGCTTTCCACAGGACAGCGTCGAGGTTCGATGTCGGAAATGTGATGAGGTGCAGGCCTCAGGCGACGAAGAGAACGGCCATGTCTACATTTGCAACAACTTTGCTTGGTTTGATTTTGAGGTGTTCAAAAATTAAAGAAATGCAGGGCTGCTTTCGCAGCTGGCCAAACCCTATTGTCTACTCTTTACTCTTCATTGTGGTCATGAATGACAGTCTGTGACAAAACACTTAGGGTCAGAAAGCACTTTGGACCATGGAAGTTCATATTCAACAAATGGTTGAACTTCCACCCAAGCTCGCGTGGAGTCACGAGTAGACATGACCCATGATGGTAGAGAAAACGATGCCTGCTTAAGATCCAGTGATCAGACAATTTCAACAAGATGCAGTCAGACGCAGCCAGCAATCCAGACATTTCCAGACTTACCAAGGACGCAGGCTTGGAGGAAGCGCGCTGAATAATTACGATAATTCATTACGCAATTCCCCTGTCAATTTGAAGAATGGCAGCTCGATACATTGGTACAAGAGGACCAGCTAGAGAACCTCTCAGCTTGGGTCTGAGTTCTCGACATTGTCCACCCCAGTGAGCCGACAAGCTGGAGGTCACCATGTTGCTCGATGGGATTGGGGTTGGCAACCAGAAAACCAAGAAAGGGACTTCCAGACTGGTCTCTGAGTTCCAGTGATTTCTGGTTTCTGAGGCACTGGTTTCTGAGTGCATCAATGATGCAGTGAGAGAATACACCCAGGCAGAGTTGGGAGTCGTCGTTGTGGCGGATGTATTTCTCACAGATACTGCAGAGAAGTGAAATTGAACACCAGTACCACTTCCTCAAGTTTTCATCGTACCTGGAAGCCAGAGGGTTTGCTTTTGCAGCAGGTCAGGCTTGCTCGACCTTTCTTGAATCTTCGTGACATTCCGAGACATATAATCCCACTAGACAACCAACATGATGTTCCGAGAATGCGACTGTCAATCCAAGCTTTCAAGATCGTGAGTTTGGAAGAGACAGTTCCCCTGGCTTCTGCCACCAACGGTTGTCGGCAGGTCATCAAGGACTCGACTGGAGCGTCAAAGAGCTGCAAGTTGACTTTGGATCAGGTGGGAGGACCAAAGTGTCGAAAGGACTGTAATTAGAGTGTAAGGGAGTATGTGTCCTGTACATTGAGGAAATGAGGTATACTGTATTGTACTTTTATTCTGTGTGCACGGGTTCAACGAGCCAATTCTTTCATCAATCGACAATCAACCACGAAAGGCCAAAGCCAAAATGGCTTACGAACAGAGCACGTGTTATTTTCACTAAACCAGCACTCGAATTCTTTTGATGCTTTTGGTTCAATTAACAAGCCAAGTATGCCGCGACGCTCCTAGGAACCAGGACGCTACTAGGAGCAAAGGGCATCGCTACTAGGAGCTTCTTGCTCCTACTACTAGGAACAAGGACGCAGTATAGTAAGGCACTTGTTACTAGTAGCGTGGCACTTGTTCCTAGTAGCGTCCTTGTTACTACTAGTAAGGCACCTGTTACTACTAGCGTGGCACTTGTTACTACAAGCTGTCGTTTGCATCGAGCATTTTGGATGGGCAGACGGTGCAGCTCCCCCCGGCGCCGAACGGCGATGCTTCGGTGCCCTCATGCCTCGGCGGTGTAGTGCCGCAGCTCAGGGGTCAGAAGGGCGGTGTGGCTAAGAAGGCTAAGGCTCCAGGATATGGATCGCAATGATATATATATATATATATGTAGTTACGCCCTCGTAATTTAAGATGCACTTCACTCCAACTGTTCCGCAGTGTTTGGGCTTAAGCTTCGGTGCATGACTTGCACTGTTTGCGGGTTGTTCACCGGCAACCCGTGTCGGGCTTGCCGAACCCACAAGCGTATCCGCGAGTTGCTCTGTGGGTCGCTTTTGTTGAGAGACCAAGAGGAGGAGGAGGCGGTGACCATCCTTCGCACAGCTGCTGGGGCTCTTCTGGATCTGGCTGAGATCGCTTCCTCAATCCTTGCACGAGAGAGGGCAGAAGCCAATCCTCCTGGCTTCAATCCGGGCTTCGACTCAGGACCGGGGTTGGCGCCTGTTGATCCGGGAGCAGGTGCTCCTAGCAGCGCTCCAGCCCCAAAGCCTGCATCAACCAAAGCCAGTCGGTTGGCACGCCTGCCAACTCCCCCGCCGGCACCAGTCAGGTCAGGACCAGTTGAGCCAGACCATCCGCCACCCTCACACCGAGGGAATCCAGAGGGTCGAAGACCCCGTGCACCACGGCGCAGCCCCAATCGACGCCCCCGAGGCACAAAAGGTGTTCAACACCGACTCCGTGGATTCTACTACGGGTATAGTCGTCGTTGAGATCGATGGCACCGAAAGCGAAACCCAAGGCAAAAGTGAAGGCTCGTCCCAAAGCCAAAGCAAAGGCGGCTCTACGGGGCGTTATGAGGAGAGGCGTGCTGAGGAGGCCAGCGGGAGCGCCCCCTGCAGGCCCCGCTCCTGTGTTGAGAGATCGTTGGTTGATGAAGGAGGAGATCGACTTCCACCAGCTGCCCTTGGAGGAACTTGGTCGTGGCGTGAAGGTAGTTGTGACCAAAGGGACCTACTACACAGCCGACTGTCAGGTGGCAGGCGCCGTGGAGACGCTGACCGTCAAATCCGGGGAAGTACATCTTGCCCTGAGCTTGACAGGTGCTACGAACGAGACGCTCCTCCGCCATCAGACAGGCAACGTTGGGAAACCGGTGAGGCTTCATCGGTGCAGCCCAAGCTGCAATGGGGATCGTGTGGCAGACGACCTCGTTCACGTGAGCAAGTTGAGGCTCATGGGCAGTCGAGAGGAGGAGGACGGTTGGACCTACAACCTGGTGGCAGTGGACGCGGCCGAGGACGACTTGAAGGACGTTCGAGCTCGTGCAGAAGCCCGGGAGGTCCCTGCAGCCGACAGGCCCGACCGGGGAGAGAAGGCCAGAGGCAAAGGAGAAGAAAGCAGTGGCAGCCGCCAAGGTGGACAGCAGTTCTGGCAGCAGTTCAACTTCGGTCAAACTGGATGGACGCCATGCCCGTGGTGCGGCAGTCAAACCGCACGGGGTTAGACTCCAAGGAGCGCATCCGCAAGCGTGCCATTCGGCGCGCCAGGAGAGTTGCCAAGAAGGCCCAAGGGGGCAAGAGCAGTGGTTCATCCCGCAGTTCGGAGGCCTCGGAGAGCTCGCCGGGCGAGGAGATCAACGATTTGGGCCTCTTCGACCCGGAGACCAAGTTGCAACGTGTTGCGGAGCTGTTCCTGGGAGTGCTCACCTCCCAAGCTCTGAAGGGCATGCGCTCCAACCTCCTGCAGTCCATCGGGAGCGACGACCGAGGAGGCCCCCCCCCAGGCAATTTCGATGGCATACTACAGGCAGCAGTTACAGAGGAAGGCGTCGGGGCCTGTTCAGAGGGAGTTGATTACGCTCTGTGCGGCCCTGGACGTCCAGGGCTCTACTCAAAGGAGCGGCATCGAAAGGGGCAGACATCATCTGCCAGAGAATCAAATCCATAGAAGCGGTTCTGACCGGCTCCCACTGGTCGGTGGCACAGAGGATAGAAGTCTCCCCGCAGGAGACACAAGCGCTAGCGGCAAGAGAAGAACTGTCGGGGGCGCAGAAAGAAGCGTACGACGACAGCAAGGTGAGGTATTTGTCATCCCTTCAAGATGGCAGGAAGGGAAAAGGCAAAAGCAAGGAGGGTCAGCAGCAGGAGTACCGCAAGGATAAGGGGAAGAGCAAGGGCAGCAAAGGAGACAAGGGGAAGCAGAAAAAGGAGAGCGCTTCGAAGTAGGCTCCTGGGATCGGGAGCCGTTGATGGAGGCTGAGGTCGACATGGCAGAGATGCATTGTCATTTGGATGGTGCAGTTGGCAGCTGCTGGGATCGGGAGCGTCCTATGAGTAGAGAAGGGATCACTTTGACGGGGCCGTGCCCTGGGAGCGAAGCACAAAGCCGCTCGCTGGTTGGCTGGACTGGTCAAGGTGACCGCCTACTTGTTCCAGCGGTGAAAGGTGACGCCGCTGATGAGGCACTCACGTCGAGTGTCGCTTGTGACGAAGTTTTTCCACCAATCCCTCCACGCTTTGAAGATGTTGAGGGATGTCCGCAGCACCCGACTTCGTGTCCGCAGGCTGCCGAAAAAGATTGCCCGAGTGAGTGCATCGAGGGTTCAAGGATTGGTTCTTTGGGTTCCCTTCTTGTCCAACGGTTGATGGAGGTTCTTCCACTTCGCAGCCAGCTCGAACACGGGTGGGGGAAAGACCGACATTTTTCCCCTACCTACCTCCATCAAGTTTTTCAAAGAGTTGTGGAATCCCGTAGGTGATGAGTGTGTTTCGTGGATCGCGTGCGTGTGTGTGTCACTGAATGCTCTTTGGGGTGGTTCGTTTGAGACTGCCAAGGTGGTCAACAAGCGTCAGAAGGACCAGGAATGCCTGGATTTGATGCGTAGGGAGGTTGAGCGTTTCTGTAGCCTGAACTTGGTAGTCAACGGAGTCGACTGCTCGGTGGATCAAATGGGAAAACATCGAGCCGGCGTTGCCTCTGGAGATAGGCCTTGTTCCCCTCGAGGACGTGTGTTCGTTGGGATGTCGGGAGTATGTGTTGTCGTTCGACTCTCACATCAAGCCACGTGACTCCTGGGGGCCACTTAGAGCACCAAAGCTGATGGTTGCAGACAGTGCTTGGGGTGAACTTTGCACTGGCCTGGTGAGGTCAGGGGTTGGCTGTTTCATCGAAGAGGACATGGTTTTCCAGACCGGGAGTGGCCCACTCCTGAACGGGCTCTTTGGGGTCACTAGAGACGACTGGACGCCTAGCTAGCGGGGTCGAGATTTGCCGCCTCATCATGAATCTCATCCCACTCAACAATATCTGTCATCCCCTAGGAGGAGACGTCGACACGCTCCCGTCTTGGGGTATGATGAGCCCCCTTCATTCAACCCGGCGAGAACCTTCTCATTAGTTCTGAAGATGTGAAGTGTTTTTTCTATACGATGAAGGTGCCAGATTGGTGCTATGGTCGGGAGATCGACGTGAAGGTGTTGCTGAGGTGTCCGCGGAGCTTCGCAAAGACCGTCCTTTCACCGTCGCAAATCCCTCCTGGAGGGTCTACTTAGACAACTACGACCTGTTGGAAAGGGTGTCAGCTACAGGCATGGTGGAGCTGGAAGGGACGTCAGCTCCCGGTGTCCTCGCTTTGCGTGAGGAGTACCAGGTTTGGCAGGTGCCACGCAATGAGAAGAAGTCAGTGGAGAGGTCACGAAAGTGTGAACTTCAGGGGGCAACCGTGGACGGTGTTGAAGGGCTCGCCTACCCGAAGGAGGCCAAGCTAGCTAAGTACTTCTCTGAATTTGGTTGGGCAGGTCAAGGTTTCGCAACGCCAGCTCCAAGTTGTTTGTGGAGGTCTCGTTTACTTTGCCATGTTTAGGCGGCCAATGCTGAGTGCTTTGAACGCGGTATGGAACTTCATCGAGAGCTTCAACGCTTCGGGGGCGACTTATCGGCCTCTGCCACGGGAGTGTCGCGCGGAGCTGTTACGCTTCCTGGGAATGCTGCCCCTTGTGAGAATGAATTTCCGCTTGGACATGGATCCCATGGTAACCTGCAGCGATGCGTCAACGTCGGGCGGAGGCATTTGTTGCTCGGTTGGCCTGTCAGCCATTGGAGCGATCGTGGAAAAAGGAGGAGTTCGTGGTGAAGTTCCCCAACCGTTGGCCGAACATCAGGTGTTGGTCATCGGGCTCTTTGATGGCATCGGAGCCTTGCGGGTCGCAGTTGACCTCCAGAACTTGCCAGTATGCGGCTACATCTCGGTTGAGCGCAACAAAGCGGAGCAAAGGGTGGTGGAGGCACACTACCCCGGGGTGTGGCAGTATGATGATGTAGAGCTGATTATCGAGGACGTCGTCAAGGAGTTTGGGTGCGCGCCAGTTCTGATTGACGGCGGCTCTTTGACTTGGTGTCATCGGCCGCGGCTGTACTGGACCACCTGGGAGCTTGCCGGAGGTCCAGGGGCGGATCTGTGCGCATCGGGGGAGGTGTCCTCCTGGAAGTTGAGTGCTGCCGTCGGTTTGGGTGACATGTTGGAACCGGGCTGGTGGAAGAACGCACCTAATCAGTCGTTCCCCACGTTCACGACGTCAAGGCCTTCTGCTACCCCGGGGAGAAAGCCCGCAGGTATTGGTCAGTGTGATGAGGATGAGTTGAGACGTTGGAGGGAAGACCAACATCGCTTCCCACCTTACCAGTATCAGTGGGTCCATGGCCTTTCAAACAAACACGGCATCGTGAGGGTGCCAAGTACTATCGAGCGTGAAGTCTTGCTAGGATTCCCAGCCCACTATACAGCTGCCTGTGCAGGTAAGAGTGAGCGTAAGTCGGCTGGTTACAACGACACGCGGTTAACCTTGTTAGGAAATACATGGTGTGTTCCGGTGATTGCATTGCTGTTGAATCAGCTCCTGTTCCCTTTGGGGCTTGCGCTGGAGCTCCCTCCGCAAAGGATCATGGACCTATGCCGCCCAGCAGGGGGGTGTGATCTGTTGCAGGGTCGTCTTGTTCGCCTCCCGGTGCGGCGCCCTCCGCCCACTCAAGGGTCGGCCTATAACCTTGCCTTTAAGCTCGGGAACTTGATTAGTTTGAAAGGGGAAGACATCCTACTGTCAACACCATCTACACAACTTGTTCGATTTCATCGGTTGCGTGCCTCTGTACCGTCGAGACTCTGGAAATGGAAGATTGTTGCGGGTTGGACTTGGGTTCATGGAAAAGAGCACATCAACTCGTTGGAGCTGCGGGCCATCTTGAACTCTATCCGCTGGCGCATTGAACATCAAGGACATACCCATCGTCGCATGATCCATTTGACTGATTCACTTGTTTGCCTACACGCCATGACGCGCGGCCGAACGAGCTCTAGGAAATTGCGGAGCACAATGGCCCGGATTAGCGCTCTCCTCCTCTGTTCGAACTCTCAATTCCTTTGGGGATACGTGCGCGCAGATAGCAACCCTGCTGACAAGCCGAGTCGGTGGGGGCGCAAGGTTCGAACGCGCTTTAGGAATGCCTATAAGCGAATGTTGGAGGGTTCGACGCAAGAGGAGAGAGCAGCAATCCGTAGGCGTATGGGTACTTTGAGGCAATTGACGGTTCAACCAGCAACTAGGCGGCGTTACGACAAGGCAATTGATAGGTTCCTGGACTTCCTCAAAAAAGAGAACATGGCTCTGCCAACCAACAAGACCAAGTTAGATCCCATTGTGTGTGATTACCTTGAAGTTCTCTGGTCAACGGGCGAAGGCCGTGGCCTAGCATGTGACACGCTTGCGGGGTTGCAAGACCTTCAACCTGGGCTCCGTAATAACCTACCTACTGCATGGAGGTTGTTAAAAACATGGCGAACAAACGAGATTCCAAACCGTGCCCCGCCCATGGCAGAACACATCGTCCACGCGATGTGTGGGTGGGCGCTTTTTAATGGATGGAACTCCTTCGCCTTGTCGCTCCTCATTGGATTCTACTCGATGTTGCGCACGGGTGAAATTTTTTAGGGTTGCTGTCCTCACACATTGAGTTTGGGCCTGGCGCTTCGCAAGGTCTCATTAGTCTAGGCCTCACGAAAGGTGGGAAGAGGCACGGAGCTGAGAGCGTAGTTCTCGGTTTTGAACCAGTGGTTCGCTTTCTTAAGCGTTGGAAGACACTTGCCTCGCCGGACACTCCCTTGACCCCTTCACCTCCTCGGTGGAGGGCTTTATTTAACCAAGGGCTTGAAGAACTAGGAATCCAGGAGTGGGGCTTTAGGCCCTACTCCCTCAGAAGAGGGGGTGCTACCTTTTGGTTCCAAAAGCACCAAAACCTGGACAGAATTTTAATGCAGGGTAGGTGGCACACACAACAAAAAAGTGCCAGACTATACCTCAACGAGGGGTTGTCGGTCCTCTCACAAATGAGGTTGCCTGCTAGCGATTCACGTCTCAAACCATTCATCACCGTTTGCAGGAGTTCTGTAGTGCGCCCGAACTTTTCAACACTTGAGCCTCCTAGCGGAAGCGCTGGGGGGCGTGGAAGGAAGAAGAAGATTCACTCCAGGGGCAAGGGAAAAGAGTCTCTTTTCAATTTTTTTGGCGGCCAGGGTCTGTGTTCGATGCTCGTCTAAGTTTCGGAGGCTAGGCTCGACCAAAGACAAGACGAACAGATTGATGTCCTCTACCCAGGGTGTGGCCGGGTAGCTGGAATCAGTTTTCCTGAATAGGGATTGTTCAGGATCAGATCTGTCTGGCCGTTTGTGTGTTGGTTTTTATCCTATTTATTCGACAAAGCCGCTGCGAAGTGGAACAAAGAGTGACTGCTGCATCTTTATTTATAGATTTCTTTTTCAGGCACTTCAAAAAGACCATAAACGATCCTTGCTTGTGCACGCATGCCATCGGCTGACACAATGCAAGCTTAGTGGTGCCTTCAGACGATTTTGTTCTTTGAGCTGGGATCATTGAATGGTGAACTGTGTCTCCCACACTTGAGCGCTGCCTCATCGCTGGAAGAGGCAGTCGGTTCTCTTTGGAAGGTTTTGGCCTGCCAGAAGGGCGCCATTACCATTGACAACACCATCGATTCCCGTTTGCAGCTAGTCATGGAACAGGCTCGGTGGGCTGAGCAGCGAATTGACATCCTGGTTAGCCACTGTTTTCAAGATTCAATCTGGCATTCCACAACTCGGGCCAAGTAGGCAAAGCCGACGATCCGGCAGCTGCTGTTCCACTGAAGGGCACGCGAGTCTGAAGCTGAGCTGAGTTCTTCAATGTTTGAAGGGCTCTCAAATCGAACTTATTCCCTCCAGTGTTCCCATTGTTGGAGGCCAGATTTGGAGAAACACTCTCTAGCTTTCCTTTTGTGCAAGGTTTGCTCTGGAGGCATCCGCGGGAATGTAGGGTCATCGCTCACTAATGGACTTTCTAGCTGCTTGATCCTCAGTGGCCCCTCCCCCACCACACACACACACACACGTTCCCACCCACACACCAGCATGAGTGCTTTGCTAAAACTCTTTCCCAAGTGGGTACAGACTCAGAGGTTTTTTGGTTCCTTTTCAGTCTTTTCAGTTCTGCAATCTATGAGGTTCTGCACTTGGTTCTTAGGTGAGAATTGCAACAAGGCATTGGTATTGCACTATGCACAATTGGAAGAACATTGGTGTACAGGTTCCCAAAGACGTCCTCGGCTAAACGTTTGGGAGTTTCGGGATTCTGGATGATGCCACCTGGGCACAGGCCGGAGTTTCTTAGTCGGCGGGACAGTGCTCTGAGCAGTGAATGGATCGTGACCTCAGTTCCGTGGAAGCAAACTTGTCAGGTGAACTTGATACAGTTCCTTCGAGCGGGTGGGTCTTTTGAACGTAACTTTGGTCACCTTCTTGACAAGTCTCATTGAGACCACTTGCCCGCTGGGCCGTGCCCACTATGCAGAGGTTCAGAAGCGTGTTCAAAATCTGCTTTTTAGGGAAGGAGGCCAAGCAACAAGAAGCATTTTGCATCTCAGAGCCAGCTGCGGCATGGAGCAAGTTGCATCTCGTCATCAACAGCTTCTCTGAAAGCCTTTGAGCCCCAAATGTTACCTCCAGTCAGGCTAGATGTAGATCTGATCTGATTGATCACCTGTTTATGCATTTGTGGAGTGGTTCATCCCTCCTCTGCCGTTTTTTCTCAACAGCGTGAACAAGGACCAATTCCTATACAAAGCTAAAACCTTGACAGGAGATGCACTGAAGCCCTTCATAGATTTTGCAGGGCTTAGTCACAGTTTGTCAGAACTAGTCAGCAGGGCCCATACAATCCCCACGATCTTGCAGTCCATTTGGCCCATGTGGCCATGATGGTACAGCTTGGCATCATATAGCCAGCTAGGCCTCACAGGCACTCACAATTATTCCTGACGAAAATCAATCCTTGAGAACGAAAGCACGCCATGTCTCAGGACATGGGCTTGAGCAGTTCTAAGGGTTTTCGTGTTTTGTCTACAGTTGCTCTAGGTGGCAAAGAAGATCCAAAGTAAGCAGAGTTCCTGTGCAGCTTGGCATAGGTCGAGCAGAGTGTTGGCTCCATGTAGGCAACCTTGGGGCACTTTATCCCTGCACTTGTGTAAGAACTTTCAGGGCTGCAGAGTCTTAAGAAATTCCTGAGTTGCATGGCATTATGCACATTGCATCGCTGCAGATGTAGGTCCTAGAAGGATTTTAACATTAATGTGGAGGGTCAGGAGCTTCAGTGGAGTCAAGATCGGCTGAGTACATGGAAGGAGGAAGAGAAGATCATGGAGCCGAATGCCCAGTGAAAAGGTATTTGAATGCGTGTGATTTCTTGAACTTGTAACGAGACAAGATGACGTTTTGACCTTCCCATACAGGTTCCAGCGCCGGGAATATGCGCTCTTGTCCCGTTTCGTTCATGGCTCAGTCTGGACAGCTGAAGAAACAGACTTAGAGCACAACGTGTTTGGATTTTTTGTATCAAAGGTCTGGCCATTCACAGGGCTTGGCTCATGATGTGTGCTTTTTGGAATCCTACCTGTGATTGCATGCAAAGGACATGCCGCCTCTTTACAGGCACTCTTCTCTTTTGATGAAGTTTTAGTTCTTACCAATGCAAAAGGTTGATTTTGGGCTTCGATTACTCTGCAAACTCGATATGCTGCTTCTGTAGCTGAGGCTCAGCGAGAGCGAGAGATGCGAAAGCTGTAGGGTTGCCCGAGTAGTCACAGAATCAGCATGCAAAAGGTTTGGTGGTTTCCGTTGATGCAGGATATGGAAGAAGGATGGATGTCAGAATTGTGCTTTGCCTGGTGAAAGCTATCCCGCTGGGGGACGCTATTAGGTGGAGGCCATCGCAAGTAGGTTGGAGGCCATTACTACTATATAGTAACAAGAAGCTACTAGTAACTAGAAGCTTCCTTGGGAATCGTTTCACTGGGAATCATTTCACCTGTAGTAACAACTATATACGCTATACACCACTATATTCTTTTTGAAACGCAGTCGAACGGCCCACAGAGCCTCTCTAGGGCACAGGAATGTGCTGAAGCCTTCCATGCTTTTGATGCTAGTCGCAAGGACTGGAAGTTGAAGTGGCTGATGGATTTATATATACCAGTGGATTTGCTCATGCTAAGTTGGAATAAAGAGTTCAACGGACATAAAGAAAAAAGTTCCAGTACTTGTCCAGGTTCTCCTTTCCATATGATTTCCCAGTACAATCCAATCTTTGTTTGGGCTGTTTCCCTGGCTTGGTTCCAGGACTCCTTGAAGGGTGCCTATGTGGACCCCACTGTGAACCTGGAGATTGGCCTGATGCGACAGCGTCTGAGAATCAAGGCGGAGAGCTCCGCAAAAGAAGCTTCGCATCCTGCTTCTGCTTGCGTTGCAGGTGTCATTTCAAACTCCCTTGCGTTTTGGGTAGTCACGTCGGCCATACCTTGCAGAGTTTCGGTGTTGGTGGGTTGTTACTTGATCGGGAAGAACAACTTACTGTAGCACTGTAGTTTCTGTCTCTCTCTCTCTCACATGTATTGCGATATTCCTTATTCCTGAAGGGGTTTGGTTGTTTGATGTCTTGGCCGATTCGATTTGGGTATTGATCAGAGCCTTGGTAGCTATTTTGGGTCCTCTTTGGAACCTTCTCTTGGAATGCAGCATGCAGCATGCAGCATTCTGAATAAATATTGAGTAGTCGGTAGTAGGCATTAAAGGCTCTTCAAGACAAGACAAGGACTCCTTTTCTTTATAAGGCGAAATCGCACCGCTCACTCTTGGGGATGCATGGACATGCGTGGATTGCATGCAAGACTCATGTATGTTTCCACATATCGAAGGGGGTGGTTGGGCAGGACCAGGAGATCGCGCAAGTGCGTGAGGAGCTCCAAAATGCGCAGCCTGGAGCTTGGGGAGTCGGTGAACCAGGTCGAGCGGCTTTTTGATCAAGCGAGACTTTTGGTGCTAGTGGATTGGATGTGTCCGTTTTTCGTGCAGCAAAGAGCTCTCTCTTTGCTTGAGAACTCATGCAGACATCTCCATGGTCACTACCGTTTTTCATGCAATTCAAAGCAACGAAGCGGTAGGTCCTTTGTCGACAGTGCGGAGTGCAAGTAGGTGGGACATGAGCAAACAACATCTTATTGGAATCCAACAGCATCTGGAAAATGCAGGGGCCTGGATGTCGAAGCAACGGCCTCGTCTGAAGCCCCGTGATTCCGGATGACACCAAAGGTGCATCACAACACTACCATGACAGTTCATGGAGACATGTATGGCAAACAGGAGTGTTTTTAGGGGTTGAAGGTGGGCATGGCAACCTACCAAGAGAGGTTGAACAGCTGAACTACCAAGAGAGGTTGAACAGCTGAAGAAAGCCCATCATCCCATTTAAAAACGCCCGTCCCATGTGTTAAACTAGAACATGATACCTTTTCATGTCCGACTCCCGTGTACCTGGTAACAGCCTTCTATAATATAAGGTCTCAGAACCAACAAAAAATACCGCTACACCTCCGAGTACCTCCTCGGTATTTGGACCCTCCAAACCCACCCGAAACACCTTCTCAGAAGGTACGACTGGAGGTCTAGGGTACATCTCTTGGCATGAGTACCTCCCCTTTGAGAACCTTCCTCCTCACATGGATTGAGCGAACTTGGTGCAGCACTGAGGTTTCAACCGAACGGGATCCAGGGCAAAAAGCTCCTGCGGCCTGACAGAGTTCTTGGGATTCGTGCTTGCCATTTAAGACAAGCAATGTAAATCGACAGTTGTACTGATAGAAAGACAAAACACACATGCTTTCTATCATGCTTTTTATCATGTGTGTCTTTTTCATGCATTCCTTTTCATTTATCATCAGGCTTTTTGAGGTGTCACTTCAAATTTTAGAATGGCTGATCTCATTTCGGGTTTTTCTTGCTTGCGCGATTGGACGCGTCCGCATTGGTCTGGCATTTACTGTTTGATAACACAAGAGTCGTCGAACTATTGGGATTGTACAGAAGATTCAATATCACAACTTTTGTTGAATTGATGCTGCTCGAGTCATTCAATTGCGACAGCTCAGGGACAAGTGCAATCACCTGCAAGAGGAAAATGCAGAGATTGCCCGACAGCTGAGTGAAGAGAAACTGCAGGTGGGGATTGAAAGAGGAGCGAAAGACAAGCGGATGAGATGGCTTGACTCTGTTCAAGTTTGTATGCTTTGCGCTTGAGCTCCACTTTCCAAGAACAAGGGCATCTATTTCCTGTCAAAGGCTTAAAGAATTGCGGTCAGCTAAGACAGCTTGACACTTCGTCATGCGATCTCCTGGGTAAAAAACAAGATATTTGTTAACACCCGTGATGCTTTGCCCTGGAGGGTCTGTCTTGGACGTGCAAATGGCAGTTTCAGATCGTTTGCTTTCCGTGAGCAGCAGGTACTCCGTATCCAGCTCTGCGCTGAGCGCCAGAAGCGGGTGCAACTACGTCTGGGCCGTACGAAGCATGCTGCGTCGTTCGAAGAATATATAGACAAATTGAAAGCTGCATGCAGATTTGGCGAGAGAATACCCTCGAAGGCTCCACATTTTGATTGCTGGCGTTTTGGGCAACCTGTTTAAAGCTTAGAGGCTCTATTTTTGTGATGTGCAAAAGCCACCTTCGCTTTGTCGTGGCTCAAGCCCATTTTGGTGCAAAGTGAGAAACACGTCAATCATTGTGCTGGTGGTGCTTTCTCGAAATTCGGACTCATGGCGCAGATGTACGTGGTGAAGCGTGATGGCAGCAAGCAGGAGGTGAAGTTTGACGCGATCACCCGGCGTCTTCGACCACTTTGCGAAGGCTTGGATGCCAACTACGTTGACCCAGTGCCTGTCACCAAGAAGGTTATTGAAGGCTTCTACAATGGTATCGCCACTGCACAGATTGACACACTAGCGGCTGAGACGTTGCTTGGCTGTAAAGTCTTCCTGAGTCAAAGTCCGAGGTCTTGTATTTTGAGGTCAAATTTAGAAGTATAGCATTTCAACTCAGGTGTGCTTACATGTCTCAGAAGCATCCAGATTTCTCCATCTTAGCTGCTCGCATTGCAGTCTCGAATTTGCACAAGAATACATCGGACTCCTTCTTCGAGACCTGCAAGATCTTGCATGGATACACTGATCAGCAGGGGAGGGCGGCTGCTTTGCTCGGTGACGAAGTGTGGGACTTTGTGAAGGCAAACGCGCAGAGATTGGACGAGGCCATTGACTACAAACGCGATCTGGGCTATGACTACTTCGGCTTTAAGACCTTGGAGAAATCCTACCTCTTGCGTGTGGATGGAAAGAGTGTGGAGCGGCCGCAACATTTGATCATGCGGTGTGCATGTGAGGTCCACTGTGGGGATTTGGAGGGCGCACTTGAGACCTATGAGTTGATGTCCCGCAAGTTCTTTACACATGCCACGCCAACCCTGTTCAACGCAGGCACCCCCACACCGCAGATGTCGTCATGCTTTTTGTTGACGATGAAGGAGGACAGCATCGAGGGCATCTATGACACCTTGAAGCGCTGTGCCTTGATTTCCAAGTCCGCAGGGGGTATTGGTGTTGCCATCAGCAACGTCCGGGCCAGTGGGTCCTACATCCGCGGGACCAACGGCTACAGCAATGGCCTCGTGCCGATGTTGCGGAACTTCAACGAGACCGCACGCTACGTGGATCAGGGCGGAGGCAAACGCAAAGGTTCCTTTGCGATGTACTTGGAGCCTTGGCACCCGGATGTCTATGATTTCATTGAGCTCCGCAAGAACCATGGCAAGGAGACATGCGAAGACCTGTCTTCTCTGTTCTTGGATTAAGGCGTATGGTAGGACTGTAGGAAAGGGTCCCAGAGGATGTGTTTGAGCTAATGGACATGTAGCTATCATAGGTGTCTCTATGGTAAAGCTTTATCAAGTGCATGAAGGAGGAGCAGCGTGCTCGAGACCTCTTCTTGGCTCTTTGGATTCCAGATCTCTTCATGAAGCGAGTGAAGGACAATGCTGACTGGACTCTCTTCTGTCCAAATGAAGCCTATGACACGACAGGAAAGGGTTTGATGGACTTGTGGGGCGAAGAGTTCGAGGAGCTCTACTGCCGACTGGAAGCTGAGGGCAAAGGTCGGAAGATTGTCAAGGCCCAGGAGTTGTTCTTCCGGATCATCGAAGCGCAGATGGAGACGGGGACTCCTTACATGCTCTACAAGGACTTGTTTTGGTTGAAGGGAGTCTTTCTTAGGGGGTAGGCCGTAGAGGTAGAGGTTGATAGTAGCTAGAGGTAGCTAGTAGCTAGGGAGTCGCTAGTAGCTTAAGTAGCTACTACTTAGGACACAGGATAGCTCACGCTTCTTCAAGAAAGCTCCCCCGGCCACCCTAAAGGCGGCGGGGGAGAGGTATCCAAAAAAGAACACATCAAGAAAACAATTATAAGCATCAACAAAAAATGTTTGGTGAACTAATTAACTATTTTTGTTGATCTCCTAAGAAAATATTTTTCGATCCCTATCATTTTTTTTGATCCTTCACCCCCTGGCGGTGGGGGGAGCTTCCTTGAAGAAGCGCTCGCACCATTCATTTGGTTTCTAGATTTTAGGGAAACTTAATAGTGATGTGAGAGGTTAGGGCCTGGGGAATGCGGGATGAGGTGCAACTGAATGTGTTTTCAGTTTGTTCACATGGACATGGATGCAGGATCATGCCAATCGGAAGTCCAATCAACAAAATCTGGGCACTATCCATTGCTCCAACCTCTGCACCGAGATCATCGAGTACACGTCACCAGATGAGGTGGCCGTTTGCAACTTAGCTTCCATTGCCCTGCCCAGTTTTGCCTCTGAAGAAGGCTATGACTTTCAGAAGCTGAAGGAAGTCACCAAAGTCGTCACCAAGAATCTCAACAAGGTCATCGACCGAAACTACTACCCACTTGAAGAAGCTCGACGCTCCAACATGCGCCACCGGCCCATTGGCCTGGGAGTGCAGGGCTTGGCGGATGTCTTCTTGATGATGAAGCTGCCCTTCGAGAGTGACGAGGCTCGTCGCTTGAACGAAGACATCTTTGAGACGATCTACTTCGCGGCCTGCGAGGCCTCATGTGAACTTGCTGCAATGCATGGGCCCTATGAGACTTATGCAGGAAGCCCTGCGAGCAAAGGCCTTTTGCAGTTTGACCTTTGGAATCGCCAGCCATGCAGTGGACTTTGGGATTGGTCTGCGCTCAAAGCCAAGATCGCCCAACATGGCTTGCGCAATTCTTTGCTGGTGGCGCCGATGCCCACGGCCTCCACAGCACAAATCTTGGGAAACACCGAGTCCTTTGAGCCTTACACACAGAATCTCTATGTGCGCCGAGTTCTTTCGGGAGAATTTGTCCAGGTGAATCGGCATTTGTTGAAGGACTTGATCTCTCGGGGCCTTTGGAACGAGGAGATGCGAACAAAGCTCATTGCCCACAACGGCAGTGTTCAGGAGTTGGATCTTCCACAGGAATTGAAGGACCTCTACAAGACCGTTTGGGAGATCAAGCAGAAACGCATCTTGGACATGGCGGCGGATCGTGGTGCTTACATCGATCAATCTCAATCATTGAACATTCATATGGTGAACGCTACTACTGCGAAGCTCTCGTCAATGCATTTCCACGGATGGGAGTTGGGATTGAAGACAGGTCTCTACTACCTCAGGACTAAGGCAGCTGCGGATGCCATCAAGTTCACGGTGGATGTGGGTGCATTGAAGCGGAGTGACTCCGAGAATGTAGAGAAATCAGTGATCCAATCACTGAAAGCTGAGGGGCCAAAGTATTCATGCGTGAATTGCAGCTCCTAATTCGTCGCACGTGTCGAATCAAATTGATGGGGTTGTTTCATGTAGTTTCATGCTTGCATGGTTTTGTTATGAAGTTTGCACGACTTCATGGCAGGGGTGGTCAAGTCTGACCTGATTTTCAGGCATGCAGTGCTGTAACACTGTACCTTTGGGCCTAAGGTCCTCCTGGGGAAATTTCAGGATGTGTTGGAATCCCCTTCGTATCCATTGAAGCGATTGTGGCAAAAAGCCAGACACAAAATTACCGGGGCACAAAAATAGTTGCACTGAGCCAGACTCAGCCCGCTTTTGACATCTGGAGACGGCACAAGCGGGGCGGCTCTTGGGATCCGGTTTCGGCTCTCGGGCTCCGATCTCGGAATTCTTTGTGTTTATCAGGTCAGCATATTGCTCAGCTTGATCAGTATGCGGAGCAGGCGCCGCGGGCCATCATGGCCTAGTTTATCCCCAACGATTCGAAGCTGAATGACTGGGATCGACATGTTCAGTGCGTGGGCTTCATATTGTTCGCAGGGGCCTGCTTGGCGGATAACACATGCTCAGGTGGATGCGGAAAATGAGAAAATGGAGAAAAAGCAACTCGACATGCGGCGCTGGTGCTGTTTGAGTGGACTCACTTTCTTTCTTGGTACCTGGTTACCTGGCTTTTAGCAATCATGTGTTGAATTCTCACAGAGGACTTGAAGCTTGACGTATTCCACACATCTTCTCATGACCCTGACCGCTGAGGGGACAATAAACTGCTTGTAGAAGTGACTCGACTGAGGATCACAGATTTGGGTCAAAGCTTAAAGGAGTGTCTCGGCGCTTTCAAGAGGTAGAAACAGGCCGAAAATGAAAACAGGAAAGCTTATTTGGAGGTGGGGGAGGTCATTGTGTCACTGCAGGGTTATAGCTGACATTATCGTTTATCTTTTCCTGTTTATATAATGCTATTGTATAACAACTTTCTGGGGCGATATGATTTTGCATGCGCTTTGACCACGCCAAGGACCCGAGCCGAAGTTGAGCGGCACAAGAAGGCTGGTCTGGGGGTTGGTTTTCGCTGGAGGGAATTTGGCTGGGATGGGTGGAAATACTGCTTTGTCTCCTCAACCTGTGAACATTTGGGCATTTGAAGAGGCAAAGTCTTCAGTACTGCACCTGTTTGTCAAAATCGTTTCACACTCATTTGAGAGGTTCAATCACTCCTTCACTGTCAATGAGTCAATTCGCAAATTCTTGCAACACTTTTCCTGCTGGCAGGAGATCGAAGAGCTAAAGCCACGAGCTTTGATAATCTCCGCTTTGTTTTGGTCAGTATATATATATAATGCATATAATCCCATCCTTACCATTTTGGAGGATTCAGAGCGATCCAGATGTGGCCAACTTCAGCTTAAGTAACATTACACTTTTACACTTTGATGTGTTGAGCATCAAGACCTCTCGAAACACTGGATTCACATAGTATTCACTTTGAACACAGATCAATCAAGGCTGCTGTGAATCATTTATGAATGTGCGAGAGGATCGCATTTCGAGAAACCCTCGTAGTATACTCTTCAAAGCATTTCAAGGCAGGCATTGGAGCAGCATCATTGGTCTTCCACTTGCAAGGTCTGGCAAGAAACGCAAGACTGCCCCTGTTGCAACTGCTGCGGTTGTGCCGGGTACGGCCGCACCTGCCGAGACAGAGCAGGTGCTTGTGCGCATATCATGTATTGGAACCCATGATTTGGGATTGGGGCATGTAGCAAAAGTATGTCAAGTCATAGTGCACAAACAGCTCTTGCATGTTATGTATATATTCCTTGTAGATTCCAGATCCTTTACACCGCTGAAATCTAAAAAGCTTGTATACCTGGATTGAAAAGAGCTCGATTCTTCGCGTCGTTTCGGAACGGAGACCGCGGGCACCGCAGTGATTTGAAATACTGATGGAACTGACAAAGGCCAATGGCAACAACCATCCACCAATTCATGAAAGAGATCCACACATACACCCATACTATATCAAAAAGAATGTGGATTGGATATAGACTCAGACTTGTGGTAGCCACTGACTGACGGCGATATATCATCACAGAGTTTAGCTCCCCAAGAGAACGATGTTACAAGACATGCTGTGATGCTTCGCACATGTCTTGCATCATGAGCTAATCAACAGTGTTTATCAAGGCCAAGGTTGAGTTTATTATTGCCGATTCATCTTGGTTTGAAAACATTGGAACATTGAAATAACACAGGATTCTAGAGCAAAAAGGTCACCCACCTAGCTAAAGCCATTCATGCTTGCCATAATGCTAACGTGTCATGCAGCCTGGATGAAACACCTCAGCTGCCTCGGCACCTTCTTGTCGACATCATAGGTGCCTGCAGCTCCACAGCCCCAGGCCGGGCAGGGAGCGCACTGATACTTCGACGGTCAGAAGCATGTTATCAGCATCATAGAAGCACTGCTGCATCGCAGCTGCCGCAGCTGAATTTAAATTTCAATACAGAAAAGCCTCTCCAATGGTTTTCGAATGTGTCACCGAGGCCGAGGTGAAACGCAGGCTCGAGAAATGCAGGGCTGGGACAAGGCAGTATTCGCCAAGTATTTGTGGACATTGGAGTCAAGCAGAGACTTTGCTGTCTCCAACCAGGGAGCTTGTTTGCCAATTTGCCGCTGCTGCCGCTGCTGCCGCTGCTGGCCATTGGTTCTGTTTGGCAAGCTCCATCCTAGAAATGCAGGGTAGTGTAGTTCTTAATTGCAGAATGTTGGTCAGGAAAAAGGAGAAGAAGCTAAAGGAGGCACGCACACGATACTTCCCAAGAAGTTCTTGAGGAAACTCAGCGTTTCTCTGTTTGTAAGCAACTCCGAGAGTCTTTGCTCGAAGACACATGAAATGAAGCCACTGGAGAGGATGTTTGAAGAACATGTTTTGTTCTTGCGTAATTAATCAAGCATCACCAGAGTAGGACCCGTACCAGGTCGAAGCTTCTGAGCCCGCACCAGCCACCACAACTGAACCTGGTGAGCTGGAGCCAGAGGTTTGGTGCCCAAGCTGAAGCTCTCCTGCGGTGGTTTCAAAGAGCTGTCAACAGGGTTGCTGGTCAAGAGGCCCACAATGCTTTGAGCAGCCACCAGAGACAGTGATGCCGACTTTGTGTTTCAATGAGGCTCCTGAAGCCGCCGTGGATGAAGCGGAACGGAAGCGAAGGTGGGGCAGACACGAACGTGGGGCTGCGAGCGCTACAGAGGAGTACTGAGAAGCGAATCAGAACGCAGGACAAAACCATGCGTGAATCGATTTGAGCACTGGACACACTGGCGTGCATCCCAACACAGCCAGGAAAAAGGAGAAAAAGGAGAAGAAGAAGGCTCGCCTCGAATCCATTCCACACAATCATCATGCAGGAGTACAGGAATGAGCATGTAGCTTGGAGTTGTCGGTTCTAGACTCTAGACTTGAACAGCTTTGCTGTATATACGGATTTGGTGAACCGGATTTTTTTCTTTTGAGTCGTGGAGAGCCTTTCCACGCAACAATGATTGGGACGAGCCTCTTGTCTCAATGGAGGATGAAACAAGTCTTAAATTGATCCCTCCATTTCGTTGTGCACTTTTGCAGGAGAAGATGAAGAACAAAGATTGATGGTTACGCTGACCTACTGCTAAAGATAGATGGATTCAAGAAGGATCCTAGGAGGCAGACCACCCGATCTCTAAAGCTACTAGACTTAGAGCGGCATTGACGGAGTGCAAAATGCTAGGAAGGTCAGATGTGTTGTGAATAAATATGGACGTTATAAACAGCAAACCACAAACCTTGACAACATCACAACATGGAGCTTGTTATTGATTGGTCATAGGCCAGCAGCGACTGAGGAAAAGGTTTCTCGCTTCGATGGGCATTCAATCACGTGCGCGCTTGCTAGACCTAGAATTGATTAAGTATAGTGCAAAAGAGGGTCAAGACATTTTTAGCTTCTTCCACCCAATGAGCTTGGATTTCTTTCAGCAACTTGGAGATCTTACCGGTTCCTGCGTAGCCATATCTTGCCAAAGGTGCAAGCAATCACTAAGATAAAGTCTGTGACGCGGCGACTTTGCTAACACTAATGAAGAAGCGACCCTGGATGATCTCAAGCAGAAGAACAACTTTACCACTGCCAAACGATACTGCTGCGGCACAAGAATCCCTTGCACCCCCTTTCACCAATATGTTCATCGATGTATCTAAGGGATAAACCTCAACCAAAAGTATTTGTTTGAACTTCAAGCGTAGCGGGTCTTTTTTGCTGCTGCGACAGTCTTTTCTTTACATTGCATGCTTTTCAGACAGTCTTGTCTAGCTTCAAGCTCTACTGTGAATGGACAGAATGCCATCCTTGCGATCTCGGGGGATCCACTGGGCCAAGCCGCAGCAAAAGGTCTGGCGCGCCTGTAGCTCAGCACAGACCAAGAGGGCAACGGGATGTTCTCTGACTTCATTGCTTTTTCGTTTTATCGATCTAGTTATAGATTTAGACATTGTACATGTAGATTAACAGGACCGGCTAGGCTTGCTAACATTCTCAAGGCTGAACACTACCGAGGCAGTGTTGACGGTCTTGAGCTGTGCTTGCTGCCAATGCTTCGTAGTCACCGGGCTGCCAAGGTGCAATGGGTCCGCTCTGCACAATAAACCTTACGCTGTAAACACTTTATGATATATATATATATTTATATTTTGGCTCGATTCGCTGAATAGTAAAAAGTGTCAAACGTAGGCTCTTCGCTCTCCATAAATAATATTTTATGGCTGTTTACACGCATAGTGAGCTCATGGAAGCTGCTAAGCTTGGAAAGTTGTTAGCTGGTATGCGTGTTGCAAACTGAGAATCATGCACGTGCTCTACAAAGTATATTGATCAGACACTCGCTGGGTTTGTTGCGAGAATTGTTCGGAAACTTGATCGTGTACTCCAAGGATGGATTACTTGCGCTAAGCCTGAGTGCCCTGTGAGCTATCATTTGATGGGCTCGTATGGGTGC